AGGAAACATCCCCATTCAGAAAGAAAAATGGGAGACACACAGTTATTGGTCCATAGTAATTCTAAAATCTTACTGGGCGAGGCTGAGAAGCCCCCTCCCCCCCACACCATCCCTCACCTTTCCCGGGAAATGGACTGCTTCCTGGAACTGGCTCTCTAGTTCATCCTCCTCCGTGTGGTTGGTTTGCCCTCAGAGTGGCCCATCCTTTACTGTGTGACCACATCAGAGGAAACATTGGGGACTCTGCCTTTCGGAGGTAGCACAGCGTTTCAGTCTCCTCTTTGCTCCTAGGAATTTGGGAGCACTCAGGGTCATATTTAGACTTGAACACTCATGGTCACATTTCTCCCCACTGAAGCATTTTATCTGAATGTATGTGTTACATCCCCAGAAAAAGAATCCCAGGACTATCCCTCCTGTGTGTTTTCATCTTGCTTCTTCATGGCCCCTGATGCCCCCTGAGGCTGTCAGTGCATGAAACCAAGCTGACGGGACAGGAGCAGGCTGTTCTGCCGTTTTTCTATTCGGTTGAGTTGCGCGTCACATCTGGGACTGATGATTCCACACTTGTCTCACTTGCCTGTGAGGCTCACGAATTTCCCAGCTCTGTGGTCATCAATAATTTCAAATTCACCAAAGTCACCAGACGATGACTTTGGAGCCCAGCCTAACAGGAACCAGATGTTTGCCTTTCTTTTCAGCATTGTTGATTCTCTGTTGTTGTTTTTAACATCTCACGGATTTGAAGTCGTCCTTGCACAGGGGCCATGCTAACCTTCTCTGTGTTGTGGCAGTTTTAGTGTATGTGCTGCCGAAGCAAGCACAATACCTTCTTTTTTTAATTTAAGGAACAGACATGTATTTTCCTGCAGTTCTGGAGGATAGAGGTCCAAGACCAAGGTGCTGGTAGAGTCAGCTTCCTCGATGTATCTTCCTTTGCTTTGCAGACTGTTGCCCTCGTGGCCTCTTCATGTGTCTGTCCCTCTGCTGGTGTGCACCTCTGGTTTCTCCTCGTGTGTCCAAATTTTCCCTTCTTAGAAGGACACAGGCAGAGTGGATCGAGCACGATACTCTTGAGAGCATCAGCCAGGGCTCCATTATGGTGGCTCGAGAGTTGGTGGAAAGGCCACTGATGGTCTTTTAAAAATCCAAGCTAATGGCTTTCGTAGAGGGTAGGGTGCTTCTTACCCGTTTGATTCCTGTCAGCCCAATGGGCCATCAGCTGAACTCACATTTCTTTTCAGACATTCCTCCTTTTATTTATTATTATTTTTAAATATACTTTTATTGATTTCAGAGAGGAAAGGTGAGGGAGAGAAACATCAATGATGAGAATCACTGATGGACTGCCCCCTGCATGCCTCCTAATGGCGACTGAGCCTGCAACCCATTCTTGACCAGGAACGATGACCCATCACTGAGCCACACTGGCCGGGCTGATGGAAGGTTTTCGTAAAAGGCATGAGAGCCATACACTTGATATGGCCCTTGTCACAAAGATGAGTTTAATCAAACTTTGTGGCTTAAGAATCTTGTCAGTTTTATCTTTCACTGGTTAAAATGTGGATCGTTTGCCTGGAGTTTCAATATTCTCTTCCTTTTCTACTTAAAAACCGGCCAATTATTTTCTAAGCCAACTCTTTATTATGGTAACTTACCAAATGCACCCAATAGCAACCGATGCATGCTACTAATATTCTCTTTCCTAAAGATTTTGCCTAAGGCTCCGAGCTCATTTGGATAGAATTTATATTCTTAGTTATTCCCAGCTTATAGTTTAACTAATTGCTTCATCACTGCATAGCACCCATCATCATCTTTCCAACTTCCAATGACAGTTTCCTCAGCAGCCACTGTCCAGCTCCAAGGTCAAAGTCAGGTAATTCAGGTTTATTTTTAGTTGTAGCAGCACCCGCTTCTGGGTGCTAGTTCTGTAACCGCCAGTTTAGATTCATGATGATGTGGTAACAACCAATCTCCAAGTATCAGCGGCTCACAGCAAAAAAAGTTCATTTCTCATTTACATTACACGTCCTTTTACAGGTGGGCTACAGTCCATCTTCATGGTGTCTTAGTTCTGGGCTGCAGGCTGAAGAAGTCTTGATCCGGCCATTGCCGGGCTCACGGCAGAGGGAAAAGAGAAGGGAAGCTACTGACTACTCACTGGTGCTTAAAGCTTCATTTCTATTTCTACTCACACCCACTGGCCAAACCAAACCAGAGAGCCACGCCTATAACAAGTGGGGCATGAATGTCAAGTTCTGTAGTGAGGGCCCCGCAGGAATGACAGTCTGTATTGGAATAATGCACTCTGCCACAGGGCTGGACCAGGCACGTCAGTCATTGAGTTCATCTGCTCCTTCTTGCACACTCTGCTACAGCATTTTGTATCACATAGCCTCACATATATCTTAGTCAAGGGTGAAATCTTGATTCATTATAGAGACAAATTATAGGCAGGCCAATGCAGCCTGACTTAGACCATCAGGTTCCTTTGCTTAGACACTGAACCATAAAACACTGAATGAATGAGGTAGTGAGTAGAGAAAGAGGCAGCTGGAAGCTCGTGATGAGAGATGGATTTGGAGAAACCACACCTAACTGAGACCCTGGTTTCTGAAAGGCGGGCCGACAGCAGCAGAGCAGGATTTCAGTGCACACTGCTCTGAGCGTCCCACTCAGGTCAGCATCCCCCAGGGATGAGGAACACACGGGAGCCTGTGAAACCTCCAGGGCATGAGTCCCTTCATCTGCTGGGTCTGCTCAGGCTTGCTGCTACCTGTTCCAAACCTCCCGTGGGTCCTCTAGCCCCCAGGAGAAGTCCAAGCTAATGAGCCTGGCATCCAAGACCTCAACCTAGCCATCCAGCCACTTCTTCCAGGAGGTTCTGACAGCTTCCTGAGTGAGACCGGGAAGCAGCCTTTTCAGGTGGCGCTGCCCAGCACGGCCAGACAGAAGTCAGATAGCACACGGACACGCGGCTGCACAGATGTGCATAAACTCTGGTGGGCCTGACAGTCTCTAGCAGATCCCAGTCGATGTCCCAGGCAGTGCCGTTTTGTCTGAAGGCAGAGCGGTGCGGGAGTAGATGAACAGGACAGGATTCTGCTGAGCATCAGGCCGCCGGGGAGAGATGGAGAATCAGGGAGGCCCAGAGGGGGGACAAGTGGGTCTTCTCCTGGGGCAGAAGCGGGCGGCCGGCAGCTTCCCGGGGGGTGGAGGCGGATTGCTCGCACACCCTGAGGACGCGCTCTTTCCCGCAGTGTCTGGAATGTCATCTGCGCACAGGGTGCGCCGTCTCAAGCAGGACGGAGGCGTGGGTCCCCTCCGGACTCGCGCAGCTGCAGGCTCAGCAGCCAGGGCGCGGAGCCCTCGGGGTCTTCTCGGCGAGTCCCTTCCCTGCCGGTCTCTCCTAGCTCACCATCTTCTTCCCGCCTCTTTCGCGGGTTTGATCGCGCCCCTTGCGCTCTGTGAGCCAATCACTTTTTGGTGCGACCGTGGACTTGCTCTGAGGCCCCGCCCTATCAACGTTCTCCATCCAAAACGCTGTTTAATACTGGGGTTGCTCAGTCCGCCAGGACGACCTACAGGCCAATCCCATGCTTCTCGGGAACAGCATTTGGGTCCAGTAGTCAATGTTTTCCAGTCGCAGCCACATCTCGGCGTCTGCATACACACTAGCACCTTGCACAGGCCACCGCCGCTCCGGGGCCCCCCAAAGCATCACAGCCACGGGTGGAGGCAGTGTGCGCAGGGGTCCCACCCTCAGATCCCTCCCCCAGTCCAGGTCAAAGAGGCCTGGGACCACAGCAAGGACATCACATCGAGCCCTTCCACAACTGGGGTCCCCACAGCTTCCACGTGTGTCCCCCGCTCCGCGGCAGAAGCAAGAGAACTGCGGCTGGACGGGGGGTGGGGGTGGGGGCAGCCAAGAGCAGCCTGTGGACCCAAAGTGGATGATGGGACAGGGCGGCCAAACCCACCCCTGAGCCCTAAAGCCAGGCATCCGGAGACAGGGCGAATGGAGGCACCTGCACTGGGAACATAGAGTGGGCCTGGAGCTCAAGTGCCTCATAAAAACCAGGCTCCTTGCCTCCGCCGCCCGCTGAGGCCACATGACCCCTTAGAAATAGCGTGTGCTGGTCAGGAGTGGCCGGCTCTCCAGCTGAACTCTTACGTAAACGCAATGCCTTTCTCTGGGTCCGGGTCTGGCCTGTGGGACTGCCTGGCCACCTCCCCCTGAACTGGCTCCTCGTTTAACTCCACACAAATGGCAAAGCTTCTGAGACAGCCCTTCCCGGTCCACTGCATCCCAAGTAACAGCTGCTACTCCCAATGCCTCTTCTTGTTGCCAGTGCCCACCGGTGACCTCCCCGCCCGCCACCCCGCAAGCCCATACATCTCACCTGGGTCCCAGCCTGGTCTGCCCGCTGCTCAGGGTTAGGCACCCACACTGGCCTTTCCCCAGCCACAGTACTGAGCCAGACGGGGTGTCAGCCCCTGGCCCACCTGTTCCTGGGGGAGGGGAAGGCAGCCTGCGCAGTCACAGGGCCTGGGACAGCCTGACTGACACCTGCAGGGCCTGGCCTGGCAGCACAGCCAGGAGGGGGGAAGCTGGACACGCCGAGGCCCGGGCCAGCCTTTCCAGGAACACACGTGCACAGGGGAGTCTCAACATTGTTTAATTTCTTACAAAACCACGTGTCCCATCCAAACAGGACAGTGCAGGCCCTCGCCAGCCATCGTGGCCCAAGGTGGGAGGCCCCCAGGAAGGGCCATCTGCCCCCTGCACAGGGCCAGCGTGAGGAGGGGGGTCCGGCTGCAGGGTCTGCGCTGCCCTGCCCCGGCTGCTGGCAGAGAAGGCACACCCGGGGGCCTGGTGCTCTCAGTGCCTGCAGGGAAGGAGGGAGAGGGGGGGTCTGAGGGGAGCAGAGGCTGGGGCCCGGGCGGGGAGGGCCAGGGCCAGGCCCACAGCATCTCACCAAGAATGCACGGTGCCGTCAGGTCGTCACGGTGACGGCAATGATGATCACCAGGATGAGGACGAAGATGGACAGGCAGATGGCGATCAGCACCTTCTTCTGCGGGAGAGGAAGGGGTCAGGGCCACGCACCCAGGGGCGGGGGGGGCACCCAGAGGGGCCTCACCTTCCGCGCCTTCCTCTGGCTCTCCAGCGCCTTCTTGACGTGCTCCTGCCCGCGCTCCACGTAGTCTGCGGAGCTCAGGATGTTCTTCTCGATCCGGTTGATCATCTCCCCCTGTCCGAGGAGGGGCAGGTCAGCAGGGGGGACGAGGGGGCGGGAGGACCCAGGCGCCACTCTGCCCACCGCAGCCCCGAAGACCAAAGGGCATTCCTGCAGAGAACACCGCCCGGACGCAGACACGGGGCGGGACCCCCGGCACAGTTCACATCCGAGGCGGCTCCAGGCCCCTTCGCCACGTGGTGCCTCCTGCTCTGCCCCTTGACCCACACCACCCGGATCCGCACGGCGTCCAGGAGCCAAGGCCTTAACCAGTTCACGGCTTTTCACAGAGCGGGAACTTCTGTCCCCAAAACGGGCCATTCTTCCAGGCCTTTCTCCCAACAGCCCTGACGCTCCTCCGGTCCCGGCTTCCCCGGGCCTCCCAGCTCCAGGGGCCGTGCTCCTGGGCGGAACCCCTTCCCCGCTCCCCGCGGTAAAGGGTGTGGCCGCCGCGCCAGGGGGTCCGCTCCGCCAGGACGCGGCTGGATGCTCGCCTCACCAGCACCCAGGCCCACAGCAAGAACGACGCTTCCTGCCCCGACCCTGGACAGATTCTGGAGACAGGCCCTGGGCGGGTGTGTGTGTGTGTGGACACGATGACTTTGGCTACAGCTCTTAAAGGTATAAGGGTGTCTTCATGGGCGGAGGAGCCAGGGCGGGGCCATACTTGGGGTGGGGGGGTGTTATATATAGGAAAGTGGCCATTTGGGTCGCTGTGGAGATGGTTGCCATGCGGGGGCACAGCTGAGGATGGAGGGAGGGCCAGCCTGGAGGGCACGGCCCAGAGGGAGGGGACAGAAGCCTGGGGGGGAGAGGCAAGCGCGGAGTGGGGGGGCGGTTTCGGCGGGAGGTCCGGTGAACATGGCCTCCTCTCCGGGGCCTGGGTCAAGCCCAGCAGCTCCGGGCAGCCCACCTGCATCTCCACCTCCGTGGCCAGGAAGGTGAAGATCTCGTGAAGCTCACGGATACTGCGCTCCAGCTGCTGGATCTCACTGTGCCGGGTGGAGATCTCGTTCAGGGCCTGCCGCGTCACCTGCGTGTCCTTCAGGATCTGGGGAGCAGACAGGAGGGAGGGACAGGTGGCAGGGAAGCCAGCAGCAGGTCCGAAGTTCGTGTTGATGTTTACGGCAGCCCTTGGGTCTAGCACTGGGCCAGGGCCCTGCTGCCTGACTCCAGGCCTGCAAACCCACTCCCTCCTGGGCCTCGGTTTCCCCTCCACCAAAAAGGACCAGAGCTTGGAGAGGGAGGGAGGCCCGCAGAGGGAGGCCGGCTGTGGCCACTCACATTGGACACAAACACCTCGCTCTGCCCGCTGTCCAGCATCTGTTCCAGCTCCTCGTCAGACACCATCCCGGCATTCGCTGTGAAGGAGAGGGCCAGGGTGAGAGCGGGGTCAGGCGAGCCCTCCCCGTGGGCCAGGCACACCACTCACTGATCTTCAGCTGCCTCCGGATCCGCTCCACGTTCTTCTCCCGGTACTCGGACTGCATGGAGTTGCACTTGTTGATGAGTTCCACGAATTGCTGGGACAGGACCCCGTGCTAAGGGAGAACACAGGCTGTGCCTCTCAGAGGACCCTGGCCCAGTCTGGGATGCAGCATCCCGCTGGGACAGTGCGCAGACGGCAGGAGCTGCCTTACCAACCTGTAAGGCCCCCTTAGTCCCTCAAAGTAAAAGCCACGGTCCTCACCGGGGCCTGCATGGCCTGCCTCTCCCGTTTCCCCTCTGACCTCACCTCCTCCCACTGTCCCCCCTTTACTTCCTCCAACCACAGCGGGCTCCTTCCTCCTCCCCGAGCAAAGCACACCCCTGCCGTGGCCTCTGCCGTGGCCTCTGCCGTGGCCCCTGCCGTGGCCTCTGCCGTGGCCCCTGCCGTGGCTTCTGCCGTGGCCTCTGTGCTCTGTTCCTGCGGCCTGACCGCTCCTGCCCCGCGGAGGCCTTGAGGTCTTTGCTCCGGTGTTCCTTTCAGAATGCAGTTTTCCCCGCCTGACTGAAATGCACCTACCTCTGCCAGCGCTCTCAATCCCTCTTGTTCTGCACCTTCTTCCTTAATACATAACAATGTTCTAAAATAACGCACTTCTTTATTAAGGCGATCATCTGTCCCCACGGAATGTAAGCTCCGTGAGGAGAGGGATCTTTGGGCTGCTGCAGCCCGAACAGCTAGCACTCGGTACACACTTGTTGAACGCTGCTGAACAGCGAAAGCCTGGAGTTCAGCCTGTTGCCCAGGTTTACGGGTCCAGCTGGGCCCTCAGCCTCTCACACGATGGCCACACAGGCTCCCCGTGAAATGCCCTCTCCCCTGTCCATTCCGATGCCTCAGTCCTTGGAGGACCTTCCTCAGAGACACAACCGCGCTCCCGGCCTCAGTGCACCCTTTCAAGATGCCCAAACTGCCCCACCTTCCATCTCAGCTCTGCTGAGCTCTGGGCCCTCTCACTCCAGCTCTGACCTCCAAGAACTCCAAACCACTCCTCACTGGGTACCCAGGAGGGACCAGGCAGATCCCCTTCAATCTTCCTCAGATGTTAAGTGACCTTCCCTCCAGGGAAGTTCCACTTCCTGAATTCTGCCCACAGAGCAGAGGCTGTCCCGGCATCAGGGCAGGAACCCTCCCAGTTGTTTATGACGCCGCTTTTTCTTCCTTAGACAGAGCCCTTAGCTAGCAAGTCCTACATCAGCAATGTCTTCCTCACCTACTCAATCTCAGCTTCCCCTCGTGGCTCCTAGAAAGTTGCTGAGTCCCCAGGTCACATCTGGGGACTCAGCAACTTCTCATTGAACGGAGAAAAGGGCAGGGTGTCATAATGAATTGGGAATTATTGATGGTGGGTGAGTCCTTTCTCTCTCTGAGCCTCAGTTTCCCCATTTGGAAAATCATTAGGTTGGACTTGATGATCTCCAAGTCCCTCCCCTCTTACTTCTATAAAACTCTGGCTGACATGTTCCAGTTCTGGGAATAACAAACCCACCTGCGTTTTCCTCATTCTTGTGTTGACTGAATTATAATTCTCATCAGCTTCTTCCTTCTGGGGCTCAATGGCTGTGGGAAGACACAGGGCATTGTGGGGGCTGGAGGGTGACCTATGGCTTCTGAAAACTGGGGATCAGGGCAGAGGGCCGGTGTCACACCCAAGTCACACAGCAGAGAAATGCTTATCTCCATACGATTTTGGGGAAAATATAGTTTATCATTAAATGACTAATTCCAAGTCTCTGACAGGGGAAAGCATATTTTTTTCTTTGCAATTCATCAGCTGATTCCCAGAAGGATGTAGAGGCCTCTTACCAAAACCCCAAATGCCTGCCCGAAGAATGCACACTGGGCAGCAAGAATTTCAGGAGTAAATGGTTTCATAGTCAATGAAAGAACCCGAGAGGCAGGCATGTGCTGTGGAAAGTGCTATGGGCTGGAGCACAGAGACGGAGATTCTAGACTGTTCTGTAACCTGGATAGACCACTGGCCTCTCAGGGCCACAAACGCCCCAGGGAGGTCAAGAGCTGGGCAGGACCAGAGGGCAGGGTCTGTCTCAGGTCCCAGAGCTCACCCTTTAGCTGCCCGCGGATCTCCCTCCCCAGCTGTTTGATCTCCTCGCGCAGGTTCTGCAGGTCCTGCTTCATGCCTGAGAAAAGAAAGCAGTTCCTACCTCAACAAATCTCTCTTGCCACCACCTGCGCGGAACTACAATACCCAAAATGCGTCTGGTGGAGCATGCGTTTTGCCCCCAGGTTTTCACTCACTATCCTCAGGAAGGGGCGTGGCCAGGATGGTGACCTGCTGTTTCTCCAGCTCCCGGACTTTATTCTCCAGCTTGACAATAGTCTGCCGAATTGTCCGGACCTGGGGAGGGAGACCGGGAGGGCTGGAGGAGATACGAAGGTCCTCCAGCCCGCACTGCTCCCCGAGTCCTCCAGCCCCCTCGTGAACTCAGGCAGGGATCCCAGCCTCATACCTTCTGGAAGAACTCCTCGTCCGGGCTCCCCAGCCGTGCCGTGCCCGTGCCTCCCACCAGCGCGACCCGCTCCCTGTCCTCATCGTCCGAGCTGTCACCCCCCTGCTAGGGCAGAGGGGTCATTGGCATCACTTCCTTGCTGTGGTTCTCTCCCTGCAGGACTCACGGGCTTCCGGGTCTTTCCTTCCCAGCCCTCAGCCACCCCTCCCTGCCCCGAAGACCAGGAATCCTCCATCCCGGCCAGACCCCACCCGTCCCCCATCCCCACCCTGCTGCCCCACTTCTCACCTGCCTCAGCTCTTGGGTCCTGTCCCGCATGGCGGCCCGAGCTCCCTCTCCCTCCCCGGCACCTGAGCCCTCAGGGCCTCAAGATTCTAAGTTTGGAACTCCCGTACTGCCCTCACACCCTGACACTCCCCTCCGCCCTCACCCTGCGGACCCCCAGCCCCCCACCCGCCGCCAGAGGCTCTGTCCCTGACACCATCCACAGTCAATGGGATGGTGCTCCCCTAGGGGACCTCCAGGGCTCCACAGGTTGGAATTCCCTTTTCTTTCCCCCCCTCCCGCTCCCGCAGCCTAGGCCCCACCCTCTTTTGGATGACTCGGAGCATGCGCACGGGGTTGCGTCTCTTTCCCGTGGGTGGGAAAGGAGGAGGTCGGAAGCTGCAGTGCCCCGACCGGAAGCAGAGTTGCCAGGATGTGAGAGGCCACCCCCTTTACCGGAACTGTCTTCTTGAGGCAATCTTGTTGCCAAAAGGAATGGAAATGCCTCATTTGTACATAATCTGAGCGGCCCTGCATCTCACATCACCCCACGGTGCACCCCCGCGTTACGTGACTGGCCGGGTCCCAGTCTCCCAGACCACAGAACGTGACGTTTTGACTGTCACGTGCCCCGGCTCCTGTCAACCCTTCTCTGGAACACCCATGTCCCCACGACGTCCCTGGGCGCTCGAGCTGCGTCCCTCCAGCTCCCACGAGGCGGGAAGGGGGCGCTAACTAACTCCAGAGACCTTTGGGAGCAGTAGGGCGTAGCACCCTTGATGAATTCGGCTCTATTTCTTTTGGGTCCAGAGGCGTGGGCAGACTGAAGACTTAGACTTTGGAGCTGTCAGCATCATGGGACCTTGAAATTCAGGAAATAATAAGATCCAGCGTCAGAATTGCAGGATTTTGAAGGCAGAGAATCTGGGGGTGGAAGTGACCTCACCCAAGCAGAAATTTCTCCCCCCCCCTCCCCCGCATCGTCCTGGCGCAGCCTCTGGTGACAGGTGGGTGGCTGGCGCCCTGCTTGAGCGCTGCAGTCCCACCGCACTCACCAGCTTGTGAGCAGCCAGACCGTTTCAGGTTGGCTCAGGCTGAGAAAAGTGTCTGTGTTATATTGAGCAGTTTGTCTTGCACCTGGGTTACCCTTCAGAGACCCCACATATAAAAAATCTGCACATATATTCCTCATTGACTATAGTTGACCATGAGCTCTTGAAATCAGGGTTTGACTGTCTTGTTTTACCTGAGCCCCAGCACCTGGTTCCGTACCTAATGGGCCCTCAGTAAATATCTGTGGACAGAATTACAGCCTTTCACGTGTCTGAAGATAAAGCTCATATTCCTTGGTTTTCTCTTTTAGGCTTCAGACTCTCACAGTGACACTCTCTAACCCTGGCCCTCTAGGTGTTCATTCAATAGTTATTTATTGGACTCTGACCCGTTTGGCTCAGTGGATAGAGCATTGGCCTGCAGACTGAAGGGTCCCAGGTTCAATTCCGATCAGGGGCATGTACCTTGGTTGCGGGCACATCCCCAGTTGGAGGTGTGCAAGAGGCAGTGGGGTGATGTTTCTCATCATCGATGTTTCTGACTCTCTTTCCCTCTCCCTTCCTCTCTGTAAAAAAATCAATAAAATATATTTATTTTTTTATATTTTAATTGATTTTTTACAGAAAGGAAGGGAGATAGAAACATCGATGAGAGAGTCATCGATCAGCTGCCTCTTGCACGCCCCCTACTGGGGGGCTTACTCAATAGGAAGAGTCCTAAAGTCTCAGCACACCTGGAATGACTATCAAGTCTGCAGGGCAATGCTCTAACCACTGAGAATACCAGCTAGGGCTGCTTCTCAGCCTTTAGCCGACTCGCCTTCTTGGTCCTCAGCTGTGATTTGGAATTGTTGCTGCCTTTGTTAAATGGCCCAGGATGATGATATTCACCATTTTACTTGTGGTCTCTGGGTAGGATTGGGAGCTTTGGGGTGGTGACTTACGGCCCCAGGAGGCTGGCTCAGAGGCAGGAGGAGTGGTGTGTGGAGGATGGGGAGCAGGGCCATCTAGAGAGGATGGTTCTGCGGAGGGGGCTTTCCAGAGCTGCCCCTTGCCTTTGTTTCCTGGTCCTTTTCCACTCAGGCCCTTGAGAGCCTAGAAGTAGGTAGTAAGTATATTGGATCTTGGATGGGTGGGTATTTATGTGTGGGTGTTTAAGCATATTTTCCTTTCAGTCTGTATAAAGGTCAGGCCCTACCTGACCCCTAAGCTTGGTAGCCTGTCCTGTCCCTTCCCCCTGTAGGTCCATCCTGCAAACACTGGAGCTAGATGACCTGGCTTAGAATCCCAACTTGTTCACCTCTGTGTAATTCTATAAGGCAAGGAACTTAACCTTTCTATGCCTCAGTTTACTCATTTGAAAATGGGAACAATAATAGTTCCAACCTCATAGGGCTGCTGTAAGGATTAAATAAAGGGTCATAAGTAAAGTGAATAGGACAGTGCCTGGTACTGTGCTATGTGTTTGCTGCTGTTATATTATTTCATTTTTTTAATTAAGGTATTATATGTGTACATACTTTACCAATCCCCCCCACCACTCCCATACATGCCCTCCCTCCCCAGAGTTTTGTGTCCATTGGTTATGCTTATATGCATGTATACAAGTCCTTCAGTTGATCTCTTATCTCCCCCATGTCTCCCTACCCTTCCCACTGTAATTTGACAGTCTGATTGTTTCTTTACTGTCTCTGTATCTATCTTTTTGCTCATCAGTTTATAATGTTCCTTATTATCCATAAATGAGTGAGATCATGTGGTGTTTCTCTTTCATTGACTGACTTATTTCACTCAGCATGATGCTGCTGTTATATGAAGACATGATGATGATAGTTACTCTGAGGGTGTCAGCAGCCTCAGTGTCTCCGCAGCCCCAGGGGTCCCACTCTGCTGCTTGTCCAGGGTCCCCCCCTTTCCATCTCCTAAACCCCACTGTGCACCAGGTCCTAGGTTAGTGGCCTTGCTAACTCCTGCGAATCTCTCATGCCTCCGCTTGGCTCTGACACAACATATATTTGGCTTATTTGTTTTGTATATTGTTTGTCTGCACCCTCCTCTCCACCTACCAGAATGTAACTCCGTGAGGACAGGAATTCTCACCTGCATTAGTCACTGCCGTGCCCCAAGCACCTACACCCATGCCTGGCACATAGCAGCTGACCAATAACTATTGATAAGTGAATGAGATGGTCCCTTTTAAATGTTTTATTTATTGATTTGAGAGAGAGAAACATTGATTTGTTGTCCCATTTATTTATGCATCCACTGGTTGATTCTTGTACATGCCCTGCCTAGAGAATGAACCCACAACCTTGGAGTATCAGGATGATGCTCTAAGCAACTAAGCTACTCAGCCAGAGCCAAATTATTTCTTTTACATATAAAATTTATATAGCATTTACTATGTACCAGGTACCAAATAAGCACTTCATAAATATTTACTTATTTAATCTCCATACCAGTTCGGTGAGATAGATAGAAACTGAAGCACAGAGATATTAAGTAACTTGCCCAAAATGAGAGAGCTCGAGAGGAAGCTCCAGAGTCTATGCTCTTAACTACTAGGATCAAATGGTAAAACCCATCAGAGGTGGCTCCCGGGGCTCCATCCGCCTTTGGGGACTTGCTGCCACCTATTGATGCCCTGCTTTGGGTCATCTGGGGTGGGAGGGGAAGACTGTCTGTGGGTCTTCCCCTCCCACACCTTCCTTCCCACACCTTCTGTGTTGGGGCTGACAGCTGGGGGAGTTGTGGGTCGCTTTCTCTCTCATGATTAGCTGTGTCCCAGGAGACAAAGATATTCATGCACGCCGCAGGTTAAAGGGCCTCCGTTCACCCACACATGTCTATGAGGCTGTTTTTGTGCCAAGCTCCAAAGGCCACAGGGAGGAAGCCCCCACAGTCTTTTCTCATGATGTGCTTTGGGCCTGACCTTGACCACTTCCTAGAGCTTCACTGAGAACCTCTCCTCTTCAAACTCTACACCCATTCACATGGCTTCACCGGCATCTATGTGCTCGCTCCCTAACCCACGTCTCCAACTCAGAATGTTCTCTTGAGTTCCAGACCCTGGAACCTACTTGCCCCCTAGACATTCTAGAAGTCCCATAAGCACCTTAAACTCAACGTGTCCAAACAGGATGCATCCCGACCCCCCACCCCCAGGCTTTCCTAAACCAGCTTCTGATTTTCCTGTTTCTTCAGTATATGGGTGACATAAAGTTACCCATGCCATAACCTTGGTCTTAAACTTCACTCTAAAGGTGATGGATCAGCCTGGCCGCATGGCTCCGTGGTGGAACATCAACCTATGAACTAGGAGGTCACAGTTTGATTCCTTTGATTGAGGACTTGATCCCCAGTGTGGGGCGTGCAGAAGGCAGCCAATCAATGATTCTTTCTCATCATTGATGTTTCTATCTCTCCCTCTCCCTTCTTCTCTGAAATCAATACAAATTTATTTTAAAGAAGTAAAGATGATAGATTACACAGCTGTCAGGATAAACTTAAAAAAATTCTAGAATAAAATATGGGCAAAATCCTTCATAACTCTCAGAGTAAAGTAAAATTCAGAAGCTATAAATAACAGAGTAATGCATTTGTCTATATGAAAAAAAAGTCTGCATGGTAAAAACATCAAAGCAAGATCGAAAGACAAACAACAAACTGGAAAAATATATGCAATTCCTATTATATCCCTACTAATTCAAGAGCTTCCACATATTGATAAGAAAGACCAATAGTTAAATAAAAATGTGGAAAACAGATCACAAAAAAAGTAAATGGTAAGGATTTTAACACATATGTGGATGTTCAACTTCATCTATAATAAGAGAAATGAAAAGACAATATGAAATAACATTTTTTTATTTCGTTAACAAAAATCTATGTTTGGTAAAACACTCTTTGGTAAGACTGTGGCAGAAACGGTGACTTTTACCCATTGTTGGTAGAAATGCAAAGTGATACAACCCAGATAATATTTATCAACATTATAAATGC